AAGATGTATAAAATTTTTTCCTGTTGGAAATGTGATATAACATTAACTTGATTTATTCTTTTTCTTGGAACATTTTCTTTGGACGATTCATCCTTTTTCTTCAGAGGTCTCATTTGTCCAGTAGTCTTCAGATTCCTTTAGTTGGATGCCTTCATTCTTCTGGAAAGACAAAAACAAAATCCTGCTCCAACCCTAACTTTGAGGAGTTTCCTTTTGGGCAGGTTATATCTGATCAAATAAAAGGCATTTGTTAGCCTTATATGTTAGTTTACATTGAACAGTTATGATGCTTGATGAACTATTGCCTCTTCTAATCAGGATGTCTCTCCTGTTTTAATCTAATCTTCATCAATGTAGATGGTATTCATAGCTTTTCTTCTCCTGTAGAAAGAAAAACAAAACCTCTTCCCCAAGGTAACACATATCCTAGTTTCCATTCTGATGTTGACACATCTTTAAAGTATATGGGCTGAGTTAATTCAACAGTTTTCTGTTATCCAGTGTCTCTCCACAGCTGTTATTCCTTTCTCATTAGCACTTTGATAATGGGACCTCCTGAAACTGAAAAGTTTCTGTAAAGCAAAGGACATGGTCAACAAGACAAAACAACAGCCTACAGAATGGGAAAAGATCTTACTAACCACACATCAGACAAAGGTCTGATCTCCAAAATATACAAAGAACTCAAGAAATTGGACACCAAAAGATCACATAATCCAATTAAAATTACCCCTTTCTGTTTATTTATCATTTTTTACCCCAACAGTGAGCCATAGATAGAAAATGTCTCCCAGAGAATCTGCAAACAATCTCTCCTAATTTATACTTTTTGGGGTTTAAGTTTTTGAAGATGTATTTTATATTCTAAATAATTAATAAAATAATTAATAGAGTCTCCTCTTTGTATTTTTTCAGGAGCAATTTGTGATCCCCAACAAGGCTAAATTTTCTTTTCCTCTTCAAATATTCTATCTACATTTGAATCAGCTGGTAAGATGTTGTCTATGTAATGATAAACTAGAGACTGAGGCCGGGCGGTGGTGGTGCACACCTTTAATTCCAGCACGCAGGAGGTAGAGGCAGGTGGATTTCTGTATTTCTGTGAGTTCAAGTCCAGCCTGGTCTACAAGAGCTAGTTCCAGGACATGCTTGAAAGCTACAGAGAAATCCTGTCTTGAAAAACTTAAAAAAAAAAAAAAAAAACCCTAGAGATTGAGGAAATTGTTTATGTATCATTTCCAATGGCTGACATACAAAATACTGGCATTCCCCGCTATGACACAGCCTTCCAGTCTTTTGCTCTCCCTTCCCCCAATGAACTGTGGCCCTAACTCAGCTGTGCATGGCCTGTTTGCTTAGTGGAATACCTTGGCAGGACATGCCAAAAGGTACTCATCTGATCTTTCTTTTCATTTATGCTTTTAAACATGAGCAAGTTTTTTTAATATTAAAACCCAGGAGAGCTCGAGAAATGGCTCTGCAGTTATGAGTGCATAATTGCTCTTCCAGAGGACCCAAGTATGGGTCACAACTATTTGTAATTCTAGTTCCAGGGATCAGATGCCTCCGGCCTAAGTGGGCATCTACACACACCCACAAAGGGACACACACAAGTACACATAATTAAAAAAGAAATAAATCTTCAAAACGAACTTCAGCGTTGGTGAGAATATGTGGGAGGGGCACATTCTTCAGGGCTGCTGAACCGGTGAATGGGAGCCCTGTGGAGATGCTTTCACCGATGCCCTTCAAAAGGAAAACTGCCCTGCTGAGCAACGTGGGAATTCCAGCCTCACGGACCTACCTGGACAAGCAGGCAAAACTTAGGCAATAATAACAGTTATCATTTGTTAAACATTTAATGGCTCCTGGGCACTGGTCTAAGCCTTGTGGAACAGAAGGATGAACCACACCCACTCACCGACACTAACTTCTCTAAGCTCTTTATGTGGTCCATCTTAATCGCCTACAACTCCATAAAGACATTAATTAGGTCCAATTTACAAATAAGGAAGTGACCGCTGAAAAGGGGCACATGGCAGAGCCCAGGGTTTGATTCCTGGTTTTGGCTTCAGATTCTTGTACCTGTCCTCTACACCCTGGCGCTAAGTCACCCAGTCCCGTTGTAGCCTCTGAATTCGACCCTTTTTGTTAAAGTGTTTGGAGAGAAGCGGAGGTCAGCGTCTCCAGCGTCCTTGCAGCAGGAACAAGCGCGCGACTGCTCTGGGTGGAGAAGCCGCAGGGAAGGCAGATGGGGGTGGGTGGGGGTCAAACATTGCCCTGCAGAAGCCCCCGAGGTCCAAAGCTGCCAGGGTTTCACCAAGAACTTGAGGGGCAGAGGCAGTGACCTCTGAGTGTCACAGGAAAGTTTCTCTGGCTGCTTCCAGAAGTTCAGTCCCATCTGCGGCCTGGGCCGTGACTCAGCAGATCCAGTGTTTAGCAAACCCGGCCCAGGCAGCAAGTCCAGGACAGTTGCTCTGGCAACCTGGAGGGTACAGAGTCCTAGCCCTGTTCTGCAAGTACTAGCTCTTCCCTTGAGAAATAACCAACCACTTGGGGGCTTCTGGTATCAACAAACCCCAATGATTCATCCCTCCTCCAAAAACAGGGATTAACTGCTTTACACAGAGAGCCAAAGCATTCTCAAAGTTACATAACCTGGTGGAGGCGGGAGGGGAAGGTTCCTCACCGCATACCACCTGCCCTCCCCTCCACACTCCCCCCTTTCCCTCTCCAACCCACCCCTCATACACACACTTTTATTTCTGAGACAGGGTCTCATTGTGCAGTTCTGGCTAGCCTGGGCTCAATGTGTAGACCAGGCTGGCTTTGAACTCACAGAGATCCTCATTCACCTGAGTGCTGGGGTTAAAGATGTGCGCCCTTTGAGACTGCTTACTGGAGACCTGTGTGTGGTCACAGCCCTGAGTCTGTGCTTAGCTTCACTGAACTTGAGATGCCAAGGATGGGGCCAGCAAGATGGCTCAGCAGTTAAGGCACTGGCTGCTTTTCCAGAGGGCCCAGGTTCAGTTCCCAGCACCACCTGTAACTCCAGTCCCAGGGGTCCAAGTGGCACTGCATGCACGTGGTACACAGACATGTGCACACACAGGACACATACACACAACAAAAAGCCCAGAAGGTTAGTGATACACATTTAGCTCTTTAATCATAACAAAAATGTTATAAAACATACAATTTTAAACATTTTTAATTTTTTTAATTTACATTTTTTTTAACTTATTTGTGTGTGCATGTGGGGGCCATGTGTGTCTCGTGGTGTGCATGAGCAAGTCACAGGACAACTTTTGGGAGGGGGTTCTCTCCTTCTACTATGTGGGTTCTGGGGACTGAGCTTGGTGTTGCCTTTACCTGCAGAATCATTCTGCCAGCCATGTACATAAAATTTATAATTCAGATATTCACTTTCAAGAATTAGTACCCTTGGCCTACACACACACACACATACACGTGCATGCGTGATTTGCACAAGGTCTCACATATACACATACAGGCACACAATAAACAAAATGTAATTTAAGGTAAGTTAAAAGGTATTTTCAAATCTAGAAATCAGTGGTCTTTTCATTAAATTGCAAATAATGAGGAAGTGCCCCTTTACTAAAAGAATAAATAAATAAGGGCCTAGAGGGATGGCTCCGGGTTAGGAGTACTTGCTGTTCTTTCCTGTAGAGGACCTGGGTTCAGCTCCCAGAATCCTCACTGAGTGGTTTATAGCTCACCTGTGATCCCGCTCTAGAGAATCTGATGTCCTCCTCTGGCGCATGCACACACACACAGAGAGACACATAAACAAAAATAAAATAGATCCTTTCTCTGAGGGATGGTCTTGGAAGTTAGTGGAGAAGAAAAATCCTCAGGTGGGCAAATGGAAGTCTGAGTGTCTTCACCGGGGCTATGGACCCTGGGGGTCACAAGAGGCAGAGCAAATGCTTCGGTCAGGTACAAAGACTGGGTAGGGCGAGATCAGAGGGCCAGGGAAGAGGGTCTGGGAAGGGCCTCTAAATGGACTCCCAGAAAAACCCAGGCTAGGGAGCCTCTTCCCATCAGCCCTTCTCCCAGAAGTGGTTGCTGACGAGCAGGCCAGGCACAGCTGTTTCAAGGATGTCATTCATTTCCTTCCCAGACTTCCACGCTGCTGATACCCTTTATGGCATGGACCACCCCTTACCAAGTCAGATCCATCAGGGGCAGAAGGTCCACTTGGCACACAGAAACTACCAAACCAGCTCGCCACCTCTGAGGACTGCTTACACTGGCTCTCTTCCAGCAGGGAGGGTGTAGAAATGTGTTCTCTCTACAAGGAATCCAAGGGTTTGGTTTATTTGCTTGCCTTGCTCCATGCACCTGCGAGCATCTGGGGTGTTTCATATGCAGCTATGGTGCCCACACTCTGGTTTCTCAGTTCAGATGCTGGCTTAGTTTGCTTTCTATTGCTGTGGTAAAACCGTATTGCTGAAAGCAGCCTGGGGAGGAAAGGGTTGGCTTGCAGGTTACAGTCCATCTTCAGGACAAGTGAAGACAGGAATGAAGCAGAGGCCACGGAGGAGTGCTGACTGCTGGCGGCTCAGTCTGCTTTCTTAGGCCACCCAGGACCACTAGGGGCTGAAGGGGGTGACACCGCCCACAGTGGGCCCCCCACATCAATCATCCATCAACAGTGCTGCTCCGATCACCTGTAGAAGCTTTTTCTCCCTTAGGGTTCCTCTTCCCAGACAACTCTAGCTTGTGTCAGGTTGACAAACAAACCAGCCAGGACAGAAGTCCAGCGCACAGAGCACTCTGCAATGTGGATTCTTCTGTGCTCACAGTCAGAGCTATATGCTGCATTTCAGATGCGGACTTGAGTCACAGACAGGCTTTAGTAAACTGTCCAAAGGCAATGGTAGCTAAGTGAATAGTGATGCCCAATTTTCAAACCCAGTTGTTTTGGCTCTGGGGTACATCGTAACTATTCTGTGAAGATCCATAGGGTGGATTCAAGACTCAGAAGAGGCTGGCCTTGTAGAACCCCGGTTATGGCAAATCTTCCGAGGAGTGCCTGCAACAGAACACAGGGCCTGAACCAACGATCCTTCTATGAGGATGGTGATGAGGTCAGGCCCTCAGATGGAGGAGGGGAGGCTGGAGTGGAGCCTCCTATTACTACATTTATGACAGCCTGGTTCGTGCTCCGTGACTCAGGAGCCTACTGGCTTACAGGCTGGTAACTGCCATGGGCAGTTTTCTTGGTCAAGTCAGCACAAACTAGAGTCATCGGGGAAGAGGGAGCCTCACCTGAGGAAATGCCTTCATCATATGGGCCTGTGGGCCTTTTCTTCGCAATGACTGATGTGGAAAGGCCCAGATCACTGCGGGCAGTTCCGCCCTTGGGCAAGTGATCCTGGGAGGAATAGGTTAGCCGAATGTGAGTCTGGAGAGCAGCATTCCCCCATGGGCTCTGCTTGAGTTCCTCTCTCCACACTCTGGCCCTGCTTGAGCTCTGGCCTTGGCTTTCCTCAGTGATGGACCACGTTCTGACTTGAACCTTCCCAAGTTGCTTCTGGCCATGGTGTTTATCACAGCAATAGAAAGCAGACTAGACCAGCACTCCAAAAAGACTGGCTTCGTATCAGTGCCTCAGTGGGACAGCTGCCTGGCTTTGTGAGCTCTTTAAGCCATTGGATTACCAGGTAGAAAGGGGAACAGATGCTAAATTCAGGGACTTAAGATTTTGAGGAAATAGTGTTGCCATTACATAACGGGGTCAGAGCGGAGGGCGGATACTGTGCAGGGCAACGCTCAGGGCACCTTGGACCACTGTGTCCAGTAGTTAAAGTTAACAGAAGCCACAGCCGCAGAAACAAACAGCTACAAGTGTAGATCCTCCAGGATCCTCCATAGGAAAGAGCCTGGGCCAACTGGATCTGGCTGTGTAGCAGAGGTGAGGTGGTAACCCCGGCTCAAAGCCGAACGCTCATGCGTGCTGGCTGCGTGCCTCTCATCGCGATTCCCACATCTGCTCTGTGGGGAAGACAGTAACGCAAACCTGACATAGTAATTGTGAGAATGAAATGGTGCCCGTAAAGGCCTTAGGACAGGGCCCAGCATGTAACAAACACTATAAATGTGGGTGATTAACAAAGTGAAGGAGTAAGACACAAAAAGGCAGCCATAAATACCATCTTAGCCTCGGGACCACGTGTAAAACTGAGACCAGCGCATACAAAATTCTGTGCAGAGATGCTTATGAGTTTTATTTGGAATAGGAAAAAACTGGAAAGGAAACAAACAAAGAAGCCCTTGAAGCTAATGAATGGTTAAACAAGCTGTAGCAATCCACATCACCATACATTTACTACTCAGCAGCAAACAGAACTCTTGATGCTCACGACAACCTGAGGGAGTCTACAGGAAACCAAGCCCAGTGACAAAAGCCAATTGTCAAAGGTTACACAGTGCATGACCATGTACAGAACATTCCTGAATTGACAGCCTCGTAGGGATAAGCTAACTGGTTGGTGCCAGGAGTTAAGAGGATGTGGTGGAGGGGAGAACAGGAGCCTGGCACCTGGGGACCTCGGTGGTGACGGAAATGTTCGGTATCAATATCTGCGTCCTGGCCGTAGTATTGTACTAGAACTCTGCGGGTGTTGCTACTAAGGAAGCGTATAAAGGGGACCCTGCTGCTATCTTGTTTCTCACAACTATAGTTATAACAATGAACAAAGTTTAATTAAAATATGGTACCCAGGTGTGGTGGCACACGCCTGCAATCCTGGCACCTGGAAGTCAGAGGCAAGCAGATCTCTGGGAGTTTGAGGCTGGCCTGTTCTACATAGTGAGTTCCAGGCCAGCCAGGGCTGCATAGTGAGACCCCCCATATCGGGGTTGGGGGGAGTATAGCTGAGTAGTAAAGTCAATTATGAGTACTTGGTTCAATACTCAGTACTCTGACCCCTTCAGCATGGGTGGGGTACAAGTGGAGGGTGTAGCTCAGGTGATAGACTCCTTGGCTGGCAGGTCCAGAGTCCTGGCTTTGATCCTCAGCACTACCCAAACAGTATGGTGGTGCATGCTTGTGACCTCAGAACTCTGGAGGTAGAGGCAGGGGGACCTGTAGTGTTGTGTCTCACTTTCGTTGCAGGACATAGAGAAACCAAGTTGGAACCGGCCTGGAAATTTCTTTCCTAGTGGCTAACTTTTGTAGTCAAAAGGTGCCATGCAAGTCCCTCCTGGGGGAGAAGACTCATCGGTGGACACGTCCAGTGGTGAATGTCATAGCTGCAGTACCAAGCTGTCTGTCAAGATGTGCCCACAGGCACTATAGTGATGTGGCTGGTCTGGGGTTAACCAGCCGCTCTTTGATTGGATTTGAGGCCTGCTCCACAGGAGTGAATTCATGCTGGGTACTTTAAACCTGGTTAAAAACCCTTATCTGGAGAACTCATAGGTGTGTGTGTTTTAAGATGTTTTCTAATCTGTATTTGTGATTTCTTTTATTTTAACATAGGCTTAAGTATTTACTTCTCATAATCATTTTATTCCTCAGTATTGTATGTTTTTCTGAATAGTATTCCATATTTCACTGTCTTTTTTTTTTTTTGAGACATAGTCTCTCTATTATGTAACTCTGACTGTCCTAGACCAGGTTGGCTGGAATTCACAAAGACTAATTTTCCTTTGCCTCCCTGGTGCTAGAATTAAAGGTGGGTGCCACCACGCTAGCTATTCCATTAGTTTTAATGTACGCATGACATCTTTTAGGATTTTTCCTTGTGAGCAGTCATATTAACTATGCATATTTTGGGGACTCCTCATCTTGAACCCCAAGTTTTGTGTATGCTAAGCATGTGTTCTACTAATTAAAATGATTTTTTTAAATATTTATTTGTTTATTTTGTATACAACATTCTGTATATATTCTGTCTACATGAGGTCTACAGACCTCATTACAGATGGTTGTGAGCCACCATGTGGTTGTTGGGAATTGAACTCAGGACCTTTGGAAGAGCAGGCAATGCTCTTAACCACTGAGCCATCTCTCCAGCCCCTTAAAGTGATTTTTTAAGCTTATTTTTATTTTGTGTGTATGGGTATTTTGCCCATATGAATGTTTATGTAACCCTTGTGTCCTTGGTGCTCAAGGGGGCAGTAACGAGTCTTTTTCTGTCCCACCAGCCATCTCCCAAATAAAGACAGAGACTTCTTATTAATTATGAAAGCTAGGCTTTTATCTTAGGCTTGTACCCAACTAGCTCTTATAATTCAAAGTAACCCATTCGTATTAATCTACATTCCATCACATGGCATTACTTCTCTTCCGTCTTCCGCCTTCTGTTTCCTTTCCTTGTCTCCGTGGCCTCTTTCACGGGCCTGCGATCATCTCCTCCTTCCTCCCTCTCTCTGCCCTGAATTCTTGCCTATACCTCCTGCCTAGCTATTCCTTGGCTCAACATTTTATTACACCCATCACAAGAGTACACCTTCCCTGGGTGTACAAACACCCCAGCAGAGGGCACCAGATCACAGCTCCTGAGCTGGAGTCACACATGACTGTCATCACCACGTGGGTGTTGGGAACCAAACCCAAGTCCCCTGCAAGAAGACTGCTCTAAGCCAAGGGGCCGCCTCTCCAGCCCCCCCAGTGCACTACTCTTTAAATAATCGGCTCATAAATGGTTATTAAATATTATTACAGTTTACTTCTGCTTCCGCTGAAATAATTATATAATCTGTTCCCTTCCCCTTCCTCTCTCCCTCCCTCTCCCCTTTGTTTTTCTTTTTCTTTCCTTTTTTTTTTTTTTTTTTTTGACAGCTTGTAGGAACTTTATTTTCCTCCCACCCTTTCCCCCTTTGCTCAGGTGTCTGCAGAGGAGCTTGGGACCACTCAGTGGTGGCTCCAACCCACTCGGTGGCCTGCTCTGTGGGAGCTGCTGACCAATCCTCAGTGGCTGGCTGGGCACTCCAGTCTTCAGTAGGGAACTGCTGGGTGGGTACCGAGGGCACCTGCACACCTCAGACCAGTCAGCCACCTCTGGCTGAGCAGCAGTGAACTTGGGAGCCCTGAAATTCCTCCTTAGTCACAGCCTTCTCAGCAGCAGCCTGTTCTTCCTTCTCAATCTCCTCTGGGTCTCTGTAGAAGTAAAGATCAGGCATAACCTCCCATGGGTGAGCACGGGAGATAGTGCCACGCATGAAGAGTACTTCCCAGGCCAGCATCCACCACGTCAGACCCACTGAGTGAGCTCCCTTGTTGTTGTACGGGATGACGATGTCCACGTAGCGCAAAGGTGCGTCTGTGTTACACGGGGCAATGGTGGGCAGGTTCACGTAAGACGCCTCTGTGAGGGGCTGGTGGTCAGACCCGGGATCGTCACCACTAGAAGCCGTGGCTCCCTGAAGGCTGCCTGGATCTGGTTAGTGAAGGTCCCTGGGGTGAAATGGCCAGCGATCATCGGAGTGGCTCCAGTGGCGGCAGCGAACTTCAGCACTGCTCGCTGCCCAGTGTTCCTGGAGGAGGTGACGCTGACATCAGCAGGGTTCTCAATGGCAACAATAGCCCGAACTGCAAGCCGCAGCTTCTCCCAGGTCCTCTTCAGATTGATGATGTAGATGCCGTCGCTTTTCCTTTTGTAGATGAACTGCTCCACATGAAAGTCGAGGTTGGTGCCACCTAAGTAGGTTCCTGCAGCGTGGAATTTGAGGACATCCTCCTCCTTCCTCTGCAGGGCATCAAGGGCTCCGGATATTGTGTTAAGTTTCCCTTTAAGTTACACCGGGAATCAAGAACAAACCGTATGGACCCGTCCTGGGGCAGTGTGGAAAGCCCTTTTGGTTTTTCAAGACAAGGTTTCTCTGTGTAGCCCCAGCTGTCCTGGAACTCTGTAGACCAGACTGGCCTTAAACACAGTGATCCACCTGCCTCTGCGTCCTGAGTGCTGGATTACGGGTGGGGGCAACCACTGCCAGCAATCTCTCTCTAAACTTATTTATTTATTCTTCTTTCATATATTACATTCTGTCTACAGTTTTCCCTCCTCCTCTCCTCCCAGTCCCTTCCCCCATCTTCCCCTCTCCCCCAGATCCACTCCTCCTCTGTTTCCTTTCAGAAAAGAGCAGGCTCCCAGGGATATCGACCAAGCATGGCACAACGAGTTCCAATAGAACTAGGCACAGACCCTCACACCAAGGCTGGATTAAAATGCTGACTAGAAAGCCTGTATTGGTGGAGCAGTGGCCCTTAACTAAAGAAAAATTACAGGTGCTTGAGCAACTGGTCTAAAATAGGTAGATGCTAAGCACAGTGAGGAAAATACTAACCTTGGAATTCTCCTGTATTTGTAATAAAAAAAAGATCTGAAAATAGAGAATGTTGGCTGATTTGAGAGCTATTAATAAGATAATTCAACCTATGGGATCTTTGTGGCCTGGAATTCCTTTACCTTCTTTATTACCTAAAGATTGGCCTAGTGTAGTTTCTGATTTGCAGGGTTGCTGTTTACTGTTCCTTTACAAGAACAAGATAGAGAAAAATGTGCTTTTACAGTTTCTGCTGTAAACAATGCCCAGCCAGGGAGATATCACTGGAATGTCCTCCCACAAGAAAAAGTTAGGTAGCCCAACCTTATGCCAATATTTTGTAAATCAACACTGGAATTGATATGTAAATAATTTCTTCAATATATTGTATATCATGATGTGGATGATACTTTATTGGTTGCTTCTGATACGGACACCTTAGAAAAAAATACTTAATGTGGTACAGAAAATTCTACCCTGTTGGGCATTGCAAATTTCTCCTGAAAAAATACAAACAGGAGATTCTCTTAGTTATTTAGGATTTTAAATTGAATAAACAGAGAATTCGGCCACAAAAGGTACAGATTAGAAGAGATCAGTTGTGAAAAGGGCACCTATTTCTGGGGCAGAGAGAAGCAAATGGATGTGCCATACTGAGAAAAGGTACCAAGCCGCATGGCAAAGCATAGTTAAGACATATGGGCATGTTTAAAAGTAGGAGTTAGCTAGTAACAAGTATGTGCTATTGACTAATGATTTTTAATTCATATTAAGTCTCCGTGTTTGCTATTTGAGAACTGGCAGGCAGGAAAGAAACATCTGCCTACACCACATGGTAACTCATAACCGTTTGTGGCCTCAGTTCCAGGGGACCCAACTTGCACACAGGCAAAATATTCATAAACTCCCTCTGTCTCCTATGAAGGGACAATAACAATGAGTTATTCTCATGATTAGGGAAAAACAAAAGACATTTCCCAAAAAGGGACCTTTAATACTGAGTTATTCCTGCTCTGAGGGAAAAAATAAAAATCATTGAAATCAAAGTTAAGCAAACAGACTACAAAATTCCAAGCTCTGGGTTTACTGTGCTTGTTCAGGCTGCAGCAGCGAGGTCCACCTGGTGATTCTTTGTGATTCAGGTGCCGCTCTGTGCAGGTGGTCTCTGCAAGGGCTGACAGGCGTAGGACCCAACCATGATAAGCTTGACAGGAACAGAGCACCTAAAGGAAGTTCTTTCGACCATTATCATCTGCCGGTGTAGGACCCAGTCAGGACAAGCTCGAGAGAGGCCTGAGTCTCAGTAGTTCACCTGAGGCAATACCTGGTTCCAAGAAAGATTGAGACCACCCAGACACCACCCAGGAACAGACCATCCAAAGGAAATTCCTAACGTTCCAACCATTGTAGATAGGATCACCTGTCAGCACACATTCACCAGGATACCCCTAGACAAATGTCAGCCAATCAGGGGTCCTGAACCTTAGAAATTCATCACTGTAATGGCCTGCTCTGTTCCTTTAAGAGGCAAGCCACACCCACTCCCTTCTCCCCACCCCCACCCCTCCACCAGGCAAGCTGATCTTCAGCTTCCAGCCTGAGTCCCTTCCCTTTTCCGTCTCTCCCCTGCCTTGCTACATTCTTCCCACTTCTCCCCTTACCCCTCTCCCTGTCTCTCTCTCTCTATTTCTCTCTGCTCTTCCCCCTTCTCCCCTCCCCTTCCCTTCCATAACCCACTAAATAAATATCCAGCTTCACTCTGCATGGCGTGCCTATCCATGTCTCTGTCTCTCGCTTACCACATGGCTCCCTGCCTTTGGAAACCTGCTGCATGGTCTGTGGCATGCCCATCTGTCTGACTCTCCTCATGGGACTCGCTGCCCCTCATGGCCCACTTGGGAACTGCGCCATCCCTGCCTGGGACCGGCTGCTTGGGGACCTGCAGCATTTTACTTAATCCATTATGGACTTGTTAAAAAGCCCCCCATCTCCCCAAAGCTACAAGAATTATTCATTGTTGATCTCACCAGACCAACAGCTCCATTATTTCCAAGGGAAATAACTGGGCTGACCAAGCAGCTAGAACAGCAGCCTTCCAGAGCCCAACCTACCTCAATCACCTCAGGGGGTTCATACAGTACAGCTCACATTCTCGCAGACACCCCCTGACACCCAGCAAATTCTGTCCTACCTACATCAGCTCTTTCATCCTAATAGCAAAGCTCTATTTCGTTTTGTCAAAGCTCACCTCCAACCCACCCCTGAGGACTTAGAGTTCTTAAAAGCTATCACTGCCTCTTGTAAAATCTGTCAAAAGTCAGATCCCAAGACCAAATATCGTAGCTTCCCTTTTCCCACTCACCAGGCCAGAGGCTCCCCTCCAGGAACTGACTGGCAGCTTGATTTTACTCATATGCCCACAGTCAGATGAGTTAAATATCTCCTGGTTTTGGTGGACACCATGTCTGGGTGGATTGAAGCGTTTTCCACCACTAACAAGAGGGTCCAGACAGTTTCCCATGTTTTTCTCTGAGAAATTTATCCCCCAGTTTGGAATCCAACCTTTCTTCTGTCAGATAATGGCCCAGAGTTTACCTCCCAGATTTCTCAAACTTTGTCCAAGGCTCTTAACATTCCCTGGCATTTTCATATCCCATACCACCCTCAGTCTTCAGGAAAGGCAGAAAGAAATAACTGTTCCTTAAATGTTCTTATTAAGATGTCACAGGAGCTTCACCTCGACTGGGTAAAACTCTTGCCTCTGGCCCTTCTCAGGCTTAGGGCTCTCCCCAAAGGTCGCCTTTTCATCTCACCCTTTGAACTCATGTATGGGTGGCCGGTTTTAACCCCCGGCCTCTTACCCAAAACCTCTCCCCTTCCCGATCATCTGCTTACTCTGCTGTTACCCATCTCCGCTCCCTATTATGGGATTTTACCGACTATTCATTACCTCAACCATGTGCTAATTTATGCCCACTGCCGGTTAAAATAGGAGATCAGAAACTATTCCCTCCCCCAGAACAATGCCCCTCACCCCTTTCCCCTAATGGCAGGGCCTCTTTAAAGTAATTCTTGTAACTCCCACAGCTACCAAGCTCAAGGGACTTCCTCATTGGATTCACCTGTCCCACCTTAAACCTTTTACTCGTCCAGCCCACGATACTCCCTCAGTGACTCAAACAAGGCCTTGCTCCCTTAAGTTCCAGGGGGCACCAAGATCAGCCACTCTTTCTCCAGTTCCAGAAAAATAAAAGTCTCATCACCATACTCAACTCTCCTGTTCCAAAAAACTCCATATCCTCTTCCTCTTCCTCTTCTCCTATCTGCTTTACCAACTTTTCTGTATCTCCAACATCATTCCAGTTAACCACTCAGCTGTTATCACAAGGACCATCATTAAACATAGAGCTGAAGGTACAGGGACTGTCAAAAGCCCAGGTGGTAAGAAACAATAAAGAGTTTGGATAAATGCACAGCCCCAAACTCCAAAAACTCACAAAACAGACTTTAACATAACAGGTTTATCACCGACTGCAGCAGTGTCTCCTGGATGTTAAGGTAATACCATGATGTTAAGAACAAGTGCCTTAAGATTTGCTTCAAGTAAAACATTAAGGGATCTAATAATTCCCCCTTTTCAATAATCCCCTCTTCTTTTTTTTTCCTTTTTCTCTTTTAATATTTATTTATTTATTTATTTATTTATTTATTTATTTATTATGTATACAATCTTCGTCTGCGTGTATGTCTGCAGGCCAGAAGAGGGCACCAGACCCCATTAGAGATGGTTGTGAGCCACCATGTGGTTGCCGGGAATTGAACTCAGGACCTTTGGAAGAGCAGGCAATGCTCTTAACCACTGAGCCATCTCTCCGGCCCCCAACCCACCCCTTCTTTTCCTCCCTCCTCCCCACTGTCTTCTATTCCAACACTATACCATCATAATTATAAGCTTTTAATATGTCTAAAATTTATTTCTTTTCAAACATTTTCTTCATAAGCTCCAGGGAGCTAATTGGACCGACCTAAACGGACCAGACTCACCCAGAATAAGTATCATTTAATTCTTCCCTTATCATTCCTGGTCTCGGGAACCCCTAGGAAATTCCCTCCTCCACCCTCCAAAAAAAAACCCTCTATCTTCCATCTTGGGACTCTCCTCCCTTAATCACCAGAATTTAAAATTTTTCCATACATAATTTTCTGCCTTTCTGTGAGGTCCAAGCTGCCAGCCAGCCAGTTCCACAGAGCCTGGAAAAAACACAACAGTGATCAGCCACCCCAGGATGTCAAGCATCTCAACTCTCTGATGTCCACAAAATCAGCAGGAAGCAGTCACAAGAGATGATGCCCCATTCTCACTCATTAAAGACCCCAAACTCCCCAAATTTTTATAATAAACATAAGGGTGGACTGTAATGATTTCAGCCACGTAAGGCTTATACTTCCGTGTTCTAGGGGTCATGCAGGTACAGACAAACCCACAGGTAGAAGCCCCCAGGAATGTTAAAGGGCCCCATGTGATCCACGTATGACTCAGCTAAGCCCTTGGACACATGCATGGTTGCATCATCCACGTATGACTCAACTAAGCCCTTGTGCACATGCGTGAGCCCTGTCATCTGCGTATGATGTAGCCACGTCTACCCCCTGTGAGCATGCACTAGGTGTGTGCCATCTTCCTCTCTCTCTCTGCACACTGACTTCCCAGGCCTGTGCACGCTCCCTCTAATAAACTCCTAAGTGGGTTTGTTGCGTGTTCTGTGTTTCCTTCTCATTCACACCAGTTAATTTCACTCACCCCCACCTTTACTACTATAAAAAGCCAACTCTAACTAAGCTCAGGGCTCTCCATTTATTCTAATACATTAGACACATGGAAAGATTGAGTTTGCAAACTTGTATAAAATAAAGGCTCTTTGCTTTTACATCCAGGACTCAGTCTCCATACTGGTTTTGGGGGAACTTCACAGATCTGGGCATAACACAGGCAGAGAGAGACCTGAGTTTTAGCTATTATAAATCTCTTATATCAGAAAGAGACTTTTCTTTTTTTCCCTCTATTTCTAATGGGAATAGGTTTTTCTCTTTCCTTATTTTTCTTTTACTGGGCCTTTTCATATTTAGACTGTAATTAAATATTTCCCCCTTTTTACCAGAAAAATCCTTTTTTCTTGATTAAACATTTCTCCCTTTTCCATCAAGAAATTTCCTTTTCTT